ACTTGTAATGTTCTGGCAGTTAATGACACGTGAATAACCCATTCGGTTCCATTAATATTGCTCGAAATAACTGAACCCTTTCCCGTGAAATTACTCCTTTCCTCAATCATTTGGAACGTATTTCCATTTTGAGTAATGTGCCAAACCATACCAGATTTGTCTTGCCACTTTCCAGACAAGTCACACATTTCATGTGTTTTACTTGATGGCATACTCATTCCTCCACCAAGCATCCCACTATTTGTCATATTAGTAGTGCTCGATTGACCCATCACTGTCATACCAAAATTCACACTTGGCATGCTAAATCCTCCCATCATCATTCTTCTATTCATATTAATCATGTCTGAAAATAAGTTTGGCATTGTACTCCCACTGCTATTACTACAACTAGTATACGTACCAGCAACACTATTATTGAATTGACTTGAGCCATTCATATTGGATGGATTGACATTGGCGCCACCAGAAGGTTGTGTAAAGAATGGATTAAACATTTTTTTTAAATTTGTTTTCAAATATCCAGACAGTTAAAGATTGTCAACCCTAATATGAGATCTAATGAGGCTTAAGGTTAAACTTCTAATAACTTGTTCCGAGGTTCAGTATCGATTATTAGGAGAACAGAGAAGCAGTGTTGCTGTTAATGTTGTTGGTTTTGTTTTTGTTTGGATATTAAACATTATCGCGAAAGAAGGTCACTCGATCATGCAGTAACACTGAGTGATGAATAGAGTAAAAGTTCCATCCAACCACTATTGGCTCTTTGGATTGCCTGTGAAGAAGCTCGGATCATTTGGTGAGAGGTAACATGGTAAATTTAAGCGACTCCTGATACTGTACGGGAGGTGGAGTAGACATTTAACGGAAATGATCATTCTTGAGGCCTGTTGTTTTGATGAGGATTTTGATAATTATCCTTATGATTTAAAAACATTTGAGAGTTGTTGTTTTGGTGTAGTTGTTTGATGATGAATATTTACAAGTAAATTCCGTAAGAGCAGTCAGTGTTTTGAAATTGAGAATTCATTTGAAAATAGATAGGTTCAGAGATAAACAGCCTTGGCTGGATAACAATTTAGCTGGAAATATAATACATAATTATTATTATCTTCTCTGATGTGCTTAAAGCCAACAACAACAGGATAGTGCCTTTTAAAAATTGAATATTTTTATTAAAATTGAAAATTAAAAAAAATAATCTTCCTTCATCATCAACATGCCTGTTGTTAACGTAAAGAAAGTAAAGTTGTTGGCTCGTCTTGGACTTGCACACTATTGTAAGTTATATTGTTGTTACATTAATATTGAAGGAGAGGATTATAGCCGATGCCGATTTTGAGCAACTTTGTTTTGATTTTGGTATTGAATTGGATGATGTTACCTCTGAAAGATTGATGAAGGAAAAGGAATTGGGTTCTGCAAAGGATACAAGCAAACTCTCCGATGAAGTCATCTACAAGATTGAAATCCCAGCCAACAGATACGATTTACTCTGTGAAGAAGGCTTGAGCAGAGCTTTGAACATTTTCCTCGGTCGTCAAGATGCTCCAACCTATAAAATTGATAATTCCAAAACCAAACAATTGTTAAAGATTAACGTGAAAAAGGAAACTGGATCAATCCGTAAATTTGTTGTTGGTGCTGTCTTGAGAAATATCACCTTCACCGAAGATGCCTACAATAGTTTCATTGATTTACAAGAAAAGCTTCATCAAAATATTTGTAGAAAGAGAACCCTCGTTGCTATTGGTACTCACGATTTGGATGTTATTGAAGGTCCTTTCACATATGAAGCTCTTCCACCAAAAGAAATCAAATTCATTCCTTTGGATAGAACTGAATTAATGGATGCTGACGAACTTTTCGCTTTTATTGAAAAAAAGNGGAAGTGAAATGAAGCACTTGTCCCCTTACACTAAGATTATCAAGGATAGTCCAGTTTATCCAGTTATTTTAGATGCTAAGAGAAGAGTTT